GTAAGTATAATTTCTAAGCCATCAATTACGATATAATCAATTTGACAAAAGTTTAAGTTATAAATCTCCTTCCTCAACTTTCACCTTAGTTTGAAGGGATTGGGAATTTACTTAATGGCATTTAGTCAACTTTTAAAGACATGTTTTATTATAAAAATTGTTAGTTGCCCAAATGACTGAACTTTGATGCCAAATGTTCACCATTTATACACTAAATATAATTTATGTAACTTTATTGGCCTTTCCTTGACTGATATTCAAAAACATTATAAACATAGTAAAGTTATTTCAATTCATATTCTAATTATTAAAGAAAGCCTGGACTTAAGTACTTTTATTTAAAAACATTTTGTGCATAATTGTTGAAGAGTACCATTATATAAACAAGATAACTTACTTGAGAAATTTTAAAATACTACACTGAGGTAGCTTAATCAGTCAAGGTGTGACAACTGATACCTTGTAAACAACTTATCTCCATTATGAATATGAATGATATTTAGAATAGATCTTGTCTAGGCTTTCTGGTATCTTCCACAGGATCAGATACAGTGCTTCCACAGAGCAGAAGTTCAAAAACTCTCTCTAGAGTTATATTTGTGAAATTTGAAAGCAAAACAAACAGTAAAATGCAGTGAAGAAGGAGAGCGTGGTTAAAATAAGTTTCAAACCTTTTTCCTTAAGCAAGGAAAAATGAAAACATATGCTATAAATTTATAGTCTCTTAACAACCGTGGTTTACCACAAATTTCATGAATAAATCGTTATATGAAACATAGGTCTATATTCATAAATAGCTCACCCAAAATATACTAAGCCTCTGTAACAGTAGAAGGTATATATTAGGTAAGTAATCAATAAACATTTGCTGAATAAGTAAGTAGTAGCATGTTTTATACTATTTCCAGAAGATAATAGAGAGGCATGAAACCAGAGATTTGTTCATGCAAAGGCTTTGTTCTGATGACTCAAGATAAATTAACTGAATAATTCCTCACTACACCCCTAAATGGAAACCTAAATAAGCAAACAAACAAACAAAAAAATGTTTTGGCTTATCTACAGAAAGTATTTCTTATTACTATCATTATTCTTATAAAGAAAATACAGAAAGTAAGTAATTAACTCATTGCAATACTCTACCTTGTTCTTTATTTAGCAACAAGTTACAAAGTTAGTCTATTAAGAACTGCCAGCCTTCCTAAATGTCTCTATTCAAGACAGATGTTCTATTTGCTCCCATTTTTGTAGCTTCAGTCCCACCTATACTTTTACTTTAACTTTCCGTAGAAGGATAACATATATGGAGCCACTACTTGTGGATATTGACTCAGTAAGAGTCAAATTGCTGTCAATTACTTGTGTAAGTTACCCAGGTTCTCTGCTTGGGTTTTGACTCATATTGACCACTCCTTCTGAATCTGGCTGTTTGTGTGCATACATGCCTAAGATTTCCATCATTTGCCTATCCAGGTCTTTTAGGCTAGGGGTTGAAAAATTATAGCCAAAGGACCAAATCTAGCCAGCTGCCTGTTGTTTTTTTTTTTTCCTTTTTTTTTTCCAAGAGCAAGATTTGTTGGAAAAAGCAACACTCATTCATTTAGGTATCATCTATGGCTGCTGTCCCACTACACCAGAACTCTTTGGCCCTATACAGAAAATGTTTAACAATTCCTGTTCTAGACTATGCTGTGGATTATACACCTGAACATTATTAACAGTCTACTGTTCTTTGTGAAAAACATAGTACTAAGTGGACCCTGAAAAAAAGCTGAAACCAGAAGGCAAAATGTCACCTGGTTCTATCTCATCTAGGAATGTGCAAGTCAAGTGACTCAAATTTTTCATCATTTGGCACATGCCCATGTCTGCAAAAGACCATAAAAGCACTGCAATGATTGATTTTGAGGTTACAAATAAATTGTAACAAGTAGGCAAATTTACAAATACAAAATCAACAAATACTGAGGATCAAATGTACACTGTAATCGTCAATCCAAAAAAGTACTCATAATACAAAAATTTTCCCTTAGGTCTTGATATCTAGTCTCAGGCCTTGATAGCTATTATGTATGCCTTGAGGGGTTGGGGTGCCGGGGAATGGACAAATTCTAAGGACCCCAAATTATGAAAAACTATAAGAAAAATTAAGACAAGCAAGAGAATCTCTTTCCTCTATTCTATGTTTCTTAGAATCTAAGCAAATATTATTTGACATTACAAACCTCTGACGGTCTTCATCATCACTGCTTTCATATTCTGATTCTTTACTAGATAATTCCTCATCTTCATCTGGCAAAGGAGGTTCCTCTGGTGGCTGAGGAGATGCAGGTGGAAGAGGTGCATGTAATGGCATATAATCTTCATACTAATTGAAAAAAACAAAACAAAAATACTTTGGCAATCTATGATGTTTATAGACTAGAAAACCATTTCCATTCAGATACATGATTCTCAAATATCTCTACCTCACGATCTTCTTTTACACATTCAACACAACTTGAATGAACACCTGACTTGGCAGACTGATCACAGTGATCACAAATCTGTTTCTTCTTCCTTGGCACCTAGCTGGACTAAATTTCCACACCTCCCTTGCAGTTAGATTTCAATTACGTTTTAGCCAATGGAATGTTAGCATAAAAAACTCCCACACATATAATCCTCTCTTTCTTCTTGATTTGCAAGCTGCATGGTAATGTCCTCACCAATCTGGGAATGCACAAAGTAAAGATAACTTAGGTCTTCTGAATGACCCAGTAGAGGAGAGAATCATTCCGCCCTGCTTTTGGAATGGACCTGGCATGAGCAATAACTCATATTGTGTTAAGAGACTAAGATTTGAGTTTTGTTAGTAACAGCTAGCATAATCTTAACTAATATCCCTGCAATGTGCCAATGAGGTGTTGATGTTACAAAGAAAAATTATGAAGCTAATAGTGTACACATTAGAAAAGCGCCAATACACAATACAAAAGCATTTTTTCTATTTAAATGTTAGCCCTCAAAATAATTTCTCTTTGCTGTTATCTAAAAAAGTACTAAGAGTACTACAGCAAAACAATAATTAAAATTATTCAAGAGTAGACATAGCCCATGATCTAAATTATTGATAGATTTGCATAGTACATTCTAATTTAAAAAATCAACCTTTCTTGTCTTCTGCAAATGTAGTATTTCAGCAATAAAATCAGAACAATGAAAATTTTAGACAATTCAGTTGTTAAATGTAACTATCTTACAGGATGACACAATGTTCGTCAAAGGACCAAACAATAACACTAGCAGAAATGATGGCCTCTATTACCAAAAGCATCTCTTTATTGTTCTGGCTTTCCCCACTTTCAGTTCCCCATTTGACTATTATATTAACTTTACATTTTTTCTTTATTTTCAATACACATTAGAGGTCACTAACACAATGTGTAAAAATTTAGCATCAATAATCTCACTTCAGGAAGACAAATTTTGAATCTTAAAAAATTTAAGAGCTTTCTTACCATGGGAGGCCGTGCAGTAATTGGTCCAAAAGGTGTGGGCAAATTCATTTTATTCATAAGATGAAGCACCTTAACGAAAGCAGTAAAACATTTAAAATCAAACAGAAAAATGATTCAACTCAAAGAAGAAAACTTTGCAGTAACACTATTGATTAACTGAGTGCAAAGGAAGGCCCACCTTTTGCCTTTATAATCCCAGGACAGGGCTAAACTGGTACATCTCAGAAAATTAGCCCTCCTAAAATGCTTGATAATTCTACAAACACTGTTATTCTCATTATTAAAAATGTTATGTTCTTACAATGTAAAAGTCTACTGAAATGTTATTTTTCCCCTTATTGTGAAATTATGAAACAAAGAGAAATATAATAAAGAAATAAACAACGTCTATATTTTGCACTTCAAAGAAGTATCTTTTATTGTCAATACTCTCAAGCATTTACTAAGGGTCCACTACGTCTTTTTCTTTAAGAAAGGAAAAGGTGTATGCTGACATAACAATTACCAGAAATTGTATTTCCCAAATTAGCTTATGTTTTAGTATTTTAAAAATTAAATATATTAATTTGTTTATGCTATAGTTCATAAAAGCTTTTACTTTAATGTAGTAATTATTTCATTACCTTTTGCAATGGACTGAGTGTCTGTGTTTCCTTCCAAAATTTGTATGTTGAATCCTAACCCCCAATATGATAGTATTAGAAGGTGAGGGCTTACGGAAGTAATAAAGTCACGAGGGTAAAACCCCCCATAAATGGGATCAGTGTCCCTTATAAAAAGCACAACAGAAAGCTTTCTGACCCGCTTTCAGCTATGGGAGGATAAAAACAGAAAACAGCCATCTACAACCCAGGAGAGGGCCTTCACCAGAACCTAACCGTGCTGGCACACTGATCTTCAACTTCCAGTCCCCATACTGTGAGAAATAATTTTCTATTATTTAAAGTCACCCAGTCTATGGCACTTAGTTACAGCAGCCTGAACTAAGACACCTTTAAAATATTGAAATATCATTGTCTGCAACAATTAGTCTGATTAATACTATCATTTTTTAAAGTATGCAAATTAGTATGAAAAACGGGGAACATGTCAAGTTATATCAGTATTTACTTTCAGGAACATTTACTTTGATTCTACTTACCTGTACATAGAACTTAGGCACACTTGCCAAAGCATTTACTATGTTTGCTAGGATTGTGCTTGAAGGTGGTGGGTACATATACTTGAGGCATGAATTTAGAGGAAAAGTCAGCCTAAAAAAATATTTTAAATGTTTATTATATTTTAATAAATTTCGTATCAATAACTCATCTTAGGTAATCTAGAAACATACAAACTGCTCAAATGATTCAATAAATCTAAGAGTACTTTGTTCTTAACAGATCCAAATGAGTACATTTAAAAGAAACTTGCCTTCTGATTACATTATAGAAAAATATGGCATTTCTTATCAGAGCTTATAACTGAACATTTTAAGGAATCAGATTCAGTGACAAACTCTTAAAGCTCAAAATGTTTAATAAATACATCAAAATATTCATCATGCATAATAAAATATCCTTTGAAAATTATTTGCATAACCTCCCCTGCCACCCCTTACCCAGTACAAAACCAAAAGAACAGTGAAATACAAACAAAAAATGCTCACCCATGGTTGGGTGCAATTCCATTTTCTACAGTTAAACAACCAAGTTCTTTCTTTTCTTTATCATCTTCCACAGGATCATCAGACCTAAGAGATATAGAATCAAAGTTGATTTTATCTTAAGAAACAAAATTAAAAATTGCATACAAAATGGACATACTATCTTTTGAAACATGGCATTATGAAAACAGTTTCACAATAAGTAAAACTTTGAATTATTTCTTAAGCAAATGGAAAAAAATATCTATTCCAGATATATATAAGGCATGGCACATTTTCATTTACTCTTCACATCAACCCTACGAAGATGGTATGATAAATCTCACTGAACAAAAAAAAAATTTGAAGCTCACATGGTATAAAATAGTGGCACACAAATTTCTTTAATGAACATCAATGAGGGCTCGTTAAAAGTCAGGTTGCTGGGCCCTTGCCTTCCTCCCCACTCTCAACTCTCTAAATCTCTGATGCATACAAGGACTTTGTATTAGTTACCTTCCCTCCACTTAAAGTTGAATGCTTTTCAGTCTACTCTCTTACCACTATACATTGATTAATTCTTAATATTAAATCAACAGTTAGGTTCCTAACGCATAATTAGGAACAAATAAAGATATTGCTTTTATGTACCAGATTCAGCAGAAATGTAATCATTTACTGTTTCAATTATTTACTTGCTAGTCTGAAAACAATCCAAGAGCAATACAACTAATAATTAAAAACAAACAAACAAACAAAAAACACTTTACAATGTCAGGAAAACCTAACTATCTACATACCTTTTCTTTTTTTCAGTGCCTGAAGAGGGACACGGTGAATGAACTCGATCTTGCTCTTTTGCAAATTCAACAACTAAAGTATGACCTAAAAGTTTCAGCTGATGCAGTCTTGTCAATGCCTTCAGTGGGAAGACCAAGAGTAAAAAGTTTGATAACTGTGCCAAAAATTATTTGCTAGAGACCATATACAAAAAAATTTATACATGTTTTTCGTTGATGCTGTTAACATTCCCTTGGCATTTCTTACCCAATTCTAATCTCAGGCTTCCAAAGCCTTTATTACTTATTAAGGGATTGCCTTCTATCACTTAGCAAAAATAAGATCTAGTTAAATCCAACTCTGCTTATACCCAGGTAGCTAAAAATGGTCAGAAAAACAAAAATAATGAATTGAACTGGTCTCACTTCAAATTCACGATCACAACCATCAATCTGAGGGTGAAGCCATAGAGTTATACATTACATTCTTAGTTTATATTTTTCTACCAATCTCTAAGACAGTATTTTGTACTTTCTCCTCCTTCCTAACATCACAATAGTCCTATACCATTTTTTTAGCCCAGGACATTACTTTCTACTCTGAGAAAACTACAGCAACTAGTAGAAAACTTTGTATTTTCCACTGTAACTCCCCATCTACCAGCATCTGCATCCACACATTCTACCTTCCATCTATTATCACATAATAACTATCAATGTTTTTATTTAAATCTAGTTGTTTAACTTGTATACTAAATCCCAGCCTCTCTTCTATCACCCTCTGGAATTATACAGGGGGTGTTCTTACCTACATTGCTAATTTTCTGTCCTCTAATAGATCATTCACATCAGTATAAAGATACACTCGTTTCTCCCACTCTAAATGTATTTTTTCTTCACCTACTGACCCCACTTACCACTGTCCCCTGACCCTCTTAAAAGTACTCTTGCAGTAAAATTCCTTAAGAGTTATCTATATTCTCTATCTAAAATTCCTCTCTTCCCATTCAGTCTCAACCTCACTTGAACCAGGCTTATGCTTTAATCAGTCCACAGATATGGCTTGTCATAAACAATTCTGTACTGCCACAGGAATGGTCAACGCTCAGGCTTCATTTTACTGCATTTAACACAACCACTCCCTCCTTGATAGATGTTCTTCATTTGATGTTTAGACACTATCGTTTTCTGCAGTTTTTTTCCTAGCTCATTGATTTCTGCTCTTCAATCACTTTGCTTACACCATCCCACATTCTTAATGCTGGCATACTCCAGAGGTCTATTAGTGCTCCTCTTTATCTAATCCAGCACCCTAAATTTAAATACCATCTCTGTGCTGATGATTTCCCAATTTATAACTTCAGCCCAAACCTCTGTCCTTAAGTCCAAGGACATATATCCAAACTGCTGGATAGCTCCCCTTAGGTGCCTAACAAATGTCTTAAAATCAACACTTCAGAAACTAAATCACTAATCTTCTCTCCCCATCCCCCTTCAAATGTTCTCCATCTGGAGCCTTCCCCATTTCAGTTGATAGTAACTCCCTTCTCTCATTTATTCATGTCAAAAATCTTGGAATCATCCTAACACCTCTTTCCCACATTGCATATCCAAGACATCACGAAATCCTGTTGGCTTCCACCTTCAAATTATATCCAGACTCTCATTACTTACCATCTACACTGCTACCACCATGGTCCAAGCAACCATCATCTCTGGACTGAATTAACAGTATAACATTTTAACAAATTTCCCTGTTTCTACTCTTCTCTGTCTTCCGTCTATTCAACACAAAGGGATTCTTCTATATGTTACTGCTTTGCTTACAGTACACCAGTGGCTTCCAATTTTACTCAAGAGTAAAATCTAGGGCCCTTAAAGATAGACATGATATAGCCTCTTACTTCTCTGATCTTGAATGCAATCATCTCCCCTCATGTTTTCTGCTTTAGTCACACTGGCTTCTTTGAACATGACAGGCATGCTCCCAAGAGCCTTTGTTCCAGCTACTCCTCTTACTAAAATGTACTTTCCCCAGATATTCCCTTAGCTAACTTCCTTCAACTCCTTCAAACTGTTGCTCCAACATGACCTTAACTACCTTAACTACGGCTTAACCCTTCCAACCCAGCACTCCTGATCTTACTGCTTTCTTTTTTTCCGTGCATTTATCATTTTCTAAAATACTATACAATTTACTAAGTTTATTATCTTTGGTCTGTCTCCACTTTTGAGAATGTGAGCTCCAATGAGGGCATAAATTTTTCTTTTATTCACTAATATCCCAAGACCTAAAGCAGCACCTAGCACATAGCAGGCACTTAATATTTTTTGAACAATTGGAATTTAGGCCTTAACTGGAACTACAATTTTATTCTACTATCTTTATGCATCTTTATTTGACTCTATTATACAAAACAAGTTTTTAAAAGTTTCAATAATTTTCAAGTCCCTAAATCAACTCCAGAACTCTTCACTATCAGTGAACCTTTAAACTGTCTGAAATACAACTGAATTGCTTCAACATTCTTCCTCTCAAAATGGATGTCACACATTCTCTTCAAAGTTATGGCTTTTAATTTTTAATGTTAACTCATCTCCCTAGCTCTCTCAGCTACTTAAACATTTCTCTCCTTTTGTTCTAAAAACTGTCAGTTAAGTACATTCTAGCCTAAAAGCCCTATTACTGCTACTACCTTCTAATTTTCTCTTCAACACAAACATTTCCCAAAGATAATGACTGATTCCACGTTCTCTCCTCCAAGTTAACCTTGACTCTAAAACAATGTGGTTTTCATTACCATATTTTAACTATAACTTTTTATGCTAGATTTCAAAGAACCTTTTCTGAAAAGAAGCTTCCTATACTTACAAAATACTTATAAAATGAATGTCTTCTATAATCCTACCCTCAGAGAAAGACATTTATTATTCAATTGGGTGTAGAGCTTTGTCACATTTTATTCTATTCATAAACCAACATACATAGTATTAGTTTTCCAAAACTCCAGGGCTGCATTATACATAACGTTTTGTATTTTTATTCATGTACTCTATCTTAGTTACATTCCTTATTAATACATATTCATTTAACATCATTCTCCTATAGCTGTAGTCCAGTTCATGAATATATAATTTAAAGTGTCCCTTCCCCTTATTGAGAATTTGGGTCATTTCTATCATTTAACAATAAAAAGTACTTTACTAATAGACTGTGTTCATTCTTCCTCTTGTGTCATCACAGGATCTCATCTTTTTAAAACTCTCCTCTCTTTGCATTCATTAGAATTTATTTTCTGGTTCTACTTCCTTTTTAACTTCTTCCTCCCAGCCTTCTTTGCTGGCTTGTCTTCCTTTGGGCAACCATATCCATGAAGAAACTCCATTTTAAGCCTTGTCTCAGCTCTAGATCCATATTTTAGTTGTTTTTAAAATATTTCTAAATAGCCCACTGACTCCTCAAAGTTAACAGGTGGCATGTGAATTTATTACCTACCTTTGCAAACATCCTCTGAATCTTGCCCTTCATGTCAGCTAATGTAATAACCCAATAACAAGACCCAAAAATCTTCAAGTATTCCCTCTCTCTGAATCACTACATCTCCAGGGATCCCAAGACCTACAAACACAATCTCTGCCAAATGTTTATCTACTTCTTCCTTTGTCTTCTTACTGCTTTATTCCGATCCTTTCTCTTGTCTTTGCCATTATAACATTTCTCTTGTCTTGTTTTTCCATTTGGCCTTTCTACCGCTAATCGTTGTCCACATCCAATCTATTACATGAACTCTACTAGGTATCTTTCACAGACCTAACCATATTATTGGTCAGCTCAAATGTATCGAGTGCTTTAATACCTACTAAACAAAATTCAATCCTTCCCTTCCTCCCCTTCCACTCAAATTTCGACTCAACCCATCTTCCAAGTCCTATTCTATTTCAAGTCCTATTTCTATTTCAACCCTTAGTTTTTGCTCCACTTAGAACTTTCCAAGCCCCACAGCTTTATTTTGCATTCTCCAAACCAGGAAGGCCCGTTTTCTTTTGAACTAATCATTAAAGGTCTGCCTCAAAAGCTATCTTCTTTGCAAATGATTCCCTAGTTTTATATATATATATATATATATATATATATATATATATATATATATGGATTCTCCTTTTAAGACTTAAAACATCGTGTCCTGCAACAGTTACAGAGAGTTATAAATCTCTGCATCCTTTAGAATTTGCTTTTAATTACAGATGAGATTACAATCCAATTTTAATTTACATTCTAATTAATCTACTAGTCTTACACCCAAATACCTAAACATTGGGTAAAATCTGCCAACTGACAAACCAAATGTAGCCTATGAGGTTAGGTCTGGAAATACAAACCATTTTCCTTTTAAAAGCTATAGCTTAACATTGTTTCATTTTTGAACTAAGATCAGATAATAGAAAATTATAGCAACTTTAAGAGAAAAGAAAAAGTCATACCTTTATAGCTGCTTTTTCATTAGGGAAAGTAGCAAAAGCTGTATGTTTCTGAAAAAGAATTAAGGTACAAATTATTTCAAATATAATTTCAGTTTCTCATAAGGAAGTTTGATACTATACTAGTTGACTAATTCGACACATTAATAAAACACATAAAAGGATGGGAAATCGAGATTATTCAACTGATTACTAATTTCAGTACAGTGCTTTTGAATCCGTTTTGGATCAGATTTCTCTGAGATGAAAGGTATGTGGAATTCATATAAAGCTGTGGATATACACACACCATGTTTTACATATATTTTCAAATAGTTCGACACTCCATTAAGTTTAAAAACCCCTACTATACACAGAGGATCACGCTTAAATCATCCAAAAAGTAAAAAATATCTTCCATCTAAAGATCTAAATTTTCCACTATACAGCCAAATGTAAAGTTTAAGAATGTTCACTCACAGAAAATTACTCCTGAAGTGCACATTCCCTTTGTGCGTTTTCCTTATAATGAAAGTTAAGTGAGAGGAGTCTCTTTTCAAATATAAACTGTTAAAATATTTTTAAACTATCAGAAAAGGAACATAAGTCAAAAGTAATTGACTCATTATGCTAAGAAAGAGTTCTTGTCAATTCTTATTCAAGCATTTACAAGTTGTTTGAGCATACTGCATAACTAATTTTGTCTAATCTCATCCAAGAGGACACCATTAAGTGTACTCAAACTGAACCACACAGAATATCTGCTGGTATACATGACATTTAGATCAAAACTGGTCTTTCTTCTAACTCAGTAACTCGCAACTCTGGCTGCATATTAGAATCACCTGGGCAGACTTCAATCACTGATGTTTTGCCCCGTCACAGACCATCTTGCAGAAACGTAACATCACCATTACTATTTTAAAGGTGAGAAATCCATATAAAGCATCTTCAAGTATAAAAGAAAATAAATCATGTACATTCCTGTGCTAGAAATTTTAGTAGTCTTAAAATATCGTTCCCTAAAAGATTCCGTCGGGAAATTTTTATATAGAACAATTTCACCAAAAATCTAGGAGAAAGCCTGCAACTCGTTTACTCAAGTTACTGACTCCTGTAGTTTCTCCTCTATTTTGATGAATGTCTTAACGCTGGCTTATAAATAAACCAAGATTTTAAAATAGTCCTTTGTTACAAATTTCTGAAAGAACTCGAGTCTAACAAATACCTCCAAATTCAGAGGTGTTTTGAGAATCTCAGGATGGGTGGGAAAATGGAATATAACTGAGCTTATTTTCCATCCTTCTGCTTTGCCTTTCTCATTTGCCCTTTTCCGCAGCGCGGCGACGAACCAAGGCTGGAGCCAATTAAAGCTCGATTTGGGACGCAAGTTATTTTGATAAGAGGGAAGCCGGGGAAGCCCCCACTACACAAGCGCATTTTCCTCACTCTTTTCTGTCTTCTTCCTTCTGTCAGAACTTCCCCTCCCCGGGTCACCAGCTCAGGGCCTTCCCGGGAGGCTTGGGACCTGCGCGCCCTTACCAGTCGCCCCTTGTCGGACAGGACGCGCACCGACTGCGCCCCGAAGTACTTCAGCAAGTCCTCTTTCTCCTCAGCAGTCAGCTCGGCTGGCAGGTGCCTCACTAAGAGGGTTCGGTCGCCCCGCGGCGGAGAAAGCGAAGCAGAGCTCTGGCATCCTCTCGACATGGGCAGCGGCTGCTCCGGGGCCGCCATTTCCCTCAGAGATCCAGCAAAGCCGTCCTGAAAACTGCGATAATCAACAGAAGCTGAGGTAAATGAGTATTTTTCCACTTCGCGCTAAGGATTCTGGAAAACAAAGAAATAACGCGAGAGTTGGTCGCCTTCTCGCGAGACCTGCGCACGGAGGGGTGCCGCCTCTTCGGAAACAAGTTCCTCAGACCGAATGAAGAGGTTCCACAGAGGTGGGAAAGCACAGTGATACACATTCCAGGTAGTTGCTGAAAGTGTTAAAACCAAAAATTCCACTGAGGGAAGCGTGAGGATTTAAAAAGTTGTCAGAGAATGTAAGAGGGATTCTGTCGTGCTTACGAAAGGAGTAACCCACGGGCAGAAGGAATGACTGCTGCGCATGCGCGAGCGGGGAGCGGGTCAGGGCGTGGCGCCTGCAAGGTGTGGTGGTGTGCTCGGCGGGTTCCTCATCCAGGCGGGCAGCGAAAGTGCTCGCGTTGGCTGGCGGGGACTCGGTGCGGGAGTACTGGGTGTGTGCACACAGTCCACACAGCGAAGTCTGGGAGAGCAAGTTCTTTCCTCCGCTCAGTAGCGTCCAGGTAGCCAGGCGAACCAGTTTAAAGGAACAAAACGTTGAGTTAAAAACGTGTTTTGTTTTCTTGAATCTTAGGACGTTTAGCGGCCTGTTATGTTCTGGCCGTGTTTCGTTTCACAGAATTGAGGGCTTCTAGGGAGAGACAGGCTGATATACGTCCCCGCAACAACTCTAAAGGGTACGTTCTGCTCCCTGTTTTACAGTTGAGGACACTGACGGACGTGTGAGGACGTTTAAGTCACACAGCTGGTCAATGACAGAGCTGGATTTGACCCTGCTTATGTGACTGTACTTTACATTATTCTGCCCCATTTCTGAGTGGAGTGAGGCAGCCTTATTCCATACAGTGAGGGCCTGAGGAGTCTGGATAGAGGTATTATTTCAGGTACAGCTACTACAGTCTACAGGTTTAAGATGCCTCTTACTGCTCTTTTTATTTACTAAAGATATAGCAGTAAACTATATATCAAAACTTTGGCTCCCATGGAAAACTGGTTAGAAATCAGGAGAGGGACAGACATTAATAAAAACTAGGAAAACCGCAGGTAATTCCCCCCCAGCCCCAAAATGTCATGTATGCATTATCAGATCATGAAGGCCCTGTGAGTTAGTTTGGAGTCTTGATTATCTGAAGAGCAATTGGAAACTGACAGAATTTTTTAGTAGAGGGGTCTGCGCATATGTGTATATGTACAAAGTGATTAAATTTTAGATGTGAAAATTTCTCTTTGGTTGCAGAACAGAAAAATGGAGTAGAAGCAGGAAGAGCAGTTGAGCTACTGCAGTAGCCCAGGCAAAACACATTGTTAGAAATAGTTTGTTAACAGATATGGAGAGAATGAACAGGAATTGAGATATACTTTGGAAGTAGAACTGATAGACTTGCAGTGAAGAAGGGTAATTACTGATAAATTTGGGGGTTTTGGCTTGAGCCCCAAGCTGCCCACCATCTAGGTGGATGATAATGTCATTTACTGAGCATGACAAGAGTGATTAAAGTAGCTAAGTTAGGAACTGGGGAAGGAGGAACACATTCAGTTTAAGGTACCTATTCCGTATCCATGTTTCAAGTAGGCAGTTGGTTGTGTTAAGTATGGCATTCTGGAGAAGCACCAACACTGGATACATATATAGCATCAACACATATAATATTTATATTCAAGGAATGAGAGTGTAAATGGAGAGGAGGGGGGACCAGAATTGATCCATGGGTCATGCCAGTGTTGACAAACAGAGAAGGAAGAACAAGACAATCCTTTCTTGGCACTTACATCCTGGTATTAAAGACAGCCTAAAGCATGCAGGAAAGTAAGTAAATGAATTCCTTTTGGAGAGTAAGAATTTTTGGGAAAAAAAAAAAGAGCCAATGTAGAGGTATAAACTGACTGAAGAGGGCATGCTACTTTAAACACTATCCTTTATACTCTTTTTCCTATGTCTCTTATGGTTAGTTAAATGATTAGCATATAGTAGACATATATAAATATTTGTTCAATAAATGAATGCATGAATGGATTAACTTTAATATTGCCACTGCCTCCTATGGTCAAGAATTGTTACATGGGTCATCAAGGTAAGTTTAATGGTCTTTATTATAATTGAGACATCACAACTCCTCAGTGAGATAGTAACATGACAGAATTTTATCTCTTTACCTAATTGCTTTTAGTTGTACTCAATTAAATCTGCCATATCCTTCCCTTGACAGTAGGTCAGGTAGATTTCATAAAATGTCTTAGTTACTCTCAATTACTAACAATCCGAATTGGTCTCCCCTCTTAATCAGGCTTGGCCTGAAGGATAGGAGGAAAATGTAATTTGCTTTCATCTCTCCCCTGTCTAAGTGGAAGTGGGTGTGGCTTGTTCTGAGTTGCACCCTTTTCTTGGTATAGCCCTGAAGATCCCAGACTTTCTGAGCTCATGGTGCCCTTATTGTCTCAGTAATTTTCTCACAGCATCCCTACGTACCATCTTGTTTCCTGTTACCCCTCGATTTTTAGGAGATATCGCTGTCTGAACTGAGCCTCAGTAAGGCTCAGCAATTATTCCATGTATTCCTCTACTTTTCCCATCTCCCTTGTTAGGTGGAACCAGTGATTCATTCTGGTCAGTGAGCTGTAGTGAAAAGAACATGTGTTAATTCCAGACTTCAGTACAGAAGAGTGGATGTGAAAGCTGTGATCATGGAGGCCGCATATTGATGTCAAAGAGCTGTAAGGTCACAGCGTAGAATACCCAGTCACTGCATCAGTGACAACTGCCCTACAGAAGTGCTTGACTCCCTCCAAATTGCATAAGTAAGAAATCTTTCGTTAAATTTTATTATGTAAATGTTCTAACAGATTAGAGTTAATTAATTTTTTAACCATAGCAAGCGTATTCTATCATTATTAAAAATATACTCTGTGATGGTTCATTTTATGTGTCAATTTGACTGGCCACAGGGAACCCAGATTAAACATTATTTCTGTGTTCCTGTCCCTGAGGGTGTTTCTGAATGAGAATAGCATTTGAATTGCTGTATTCAGTAAAGTAGATTGCCTTTCCTATGGGGGGGTGGGCATTATACTGTCCACAGAGAATGGAATACAATAAAAGGTGGAGAAAGGAAGAATCACTCTTTTTTTTAATCCCTCACTAATTATGCTGAGGCATCTCATCTCATCTTCTTCAACAATCAGACTGGGTTCTACACCAACTCCCCTGGTTCTCAGACTTTTGAACTTGGGCTGCATTAAACCATCAGGTTTCCTGGCTATTCAGCTCAAGATAGCAGATCATGGGACTTTTCAGCCTCCATGATCACATGAGCCAATTCCTCATAATAAATATCCTTTTACTTATACATATTTTTATTATATGTATATATTATATATTTATATTTTATAAAAGTATGTAAATACAAAAATATAGAAATGTATAAATATATTAATATATAAATACATTTAAATATTTTTATAAATTATCAATATATAATAAATATCCTTTTATTTGTATTTACTCATATATAAAGATTATATAGGTAAATTATATATGTAATATTTTACTCTTTAAAAATTTTAAATTTGTTATGCATATTTTATATTACATATAATATATTCTTCAATATGTTTTTTATCACAGCAGCTGGATTCTGTTAAATCCTCAGAACTTTGCAGTGTCTTGTCTTCTCACTTAGACTAAAAGCTAAAGTTCTTCCTTTGATTTTTAAGAGCTTGTATGATCTGGCTTCTCCAGTGTATTACTTTTCTGACTTCATCTCTTCTCTTCCCGCCTCATTCACACTCTACAATAGACATACTAAACATCTAGCTGTTCTTGAACTTTTGAGACCCATGATTCAGATCTTTGTGCTTGCTAAAACTTTCAAAATGCTTTTCCCACAGATATCTGCATTTTAGCTCCCAAATTTCCTACAAGTGCTCAAAATGTTACCTTTCCTCTAAATGTTTCATTGTTAGTCAGCACCATCTCTGCCTCTTCTGTTCTCTCCTCTGTGTTTCAGCAGGAAACTGAAAAACAGATTTTTTCAGTACTTTTGCTGTCTATTGCTGTGTAATAAACCACCCTCAAACTTGCTGTTAGTACAGCCACCAGCAAAGAATTTCCCTTTTCCCAAGGCAGACAGAATTCACGTCTTCATCCCATTTGCTTTTATTGTAAAAATCATTATATATAAATTTTATTATAATTAATTGTGTATGTCATTTTCTTATTACTGGTAAGCTACTTGAAGATAGGCATTGCTATATTCATCTCTATATCCTTCAAGCATTAACATAGTGGCCTTACAGGTAGATTAATAGTCACTGAATGTTAAAACATGTAAATTAATGTTACTCAACAAGAAATTAAAATACACCCTACTGGCAACTAGGGATACATATTCATTGATTTGCCTGATGACTTTAAGAAACCAGGCTAAATATTTCATTGCAAAATTGTCACAGTGGTCAGAGACAAAATGTCAATATTATTCTGTGTTTCTTATAGAGAGATGACTATATGTGGATCTTATGGATAGTCATTTGTAGATTTACTTCCTGTATAAAATAAAACATTTTACATAGCCATGAAATTTTATCTTGGTTGCATTTGAGGGCAAATTTTTGTCACAAGCTTTCAGAAAAATAATTCTTAACATTTATTTGAATAAAATATAAAGACGCCTTTTAACCCAGCAATTTTGTTTTCAGAATCTATGTTAGATAGCTCTGGTTGCCATAGCAAAATACCATAAACTGAATGGGTTACACAAAAACTTATTTTCTCACAGGTCTGGAGGCTGAAAGTCCAAGATCAGAGTGTCAGCATCGTCAGGTTCTTGTGAGAGCTCTTTTCCTGGCTTGCCTTCTAGCTGTATCTTCACAAGGTAGAGAGAGGGAGACAGAGAGTGAGTGTTTTGGTGTAACTCTTATAAGGACATTAATTCCAGCATGAGGGCCCCACCTCCATGATCTTATCTAAACCTGATTACCTCCCAAAGGCCCCATCTACAAATACCATCACATTGGGGGTTAGATCATTAGCATATGAAACTTGAGGGAACATAGTTCAGTCCATAGCAGAATCTATCTTATAGAAATAAAAGCATCTGTATGTGACTAATTGGCTCAATGGCTGAGTTTACTTGAATCTCACGGAATTACCAAAAAAAAAAACAAAAACAAAAACCTTACAGTTTATTGGATTCCCCTTCCCTGAAATATCCCTTAACTTTCCTACTCATTTTTGATTTTAAAAGCAAACCATTATTTATCATTAAGATTCACTTTCAGTCCAATTAAAATGCTAATCTCACATCTAAGCTTACACCCTTCTCTAAGGAAACCTATAGTGGGGAAGCTGGCTAATCTTTTCTTTCTCAGTTCCTTCTCCTTCTCTTTCTACTCTGGGAAAGAGGTAGTTCTCCCTCGGCTGTTGATTTCCTCTTTCCTGGCAGATATCCAAATATATGGGGCACTTTGATAGACTGTTAAAGGACCCTGCACGATCTCGTCCCATACTGTTTCATGATACTGATGATGTACTTTCTAGCTAACAACTTATGATTCCGTTCTGTCATGGCTTCTAATCACTTGGAGCCATTCATTGAAGCAAATGACCCTCTTGGTTAGACCCTCCCCACATAGAGACCAGCTGTCTTCTACAGTGATTTGCTGGCCTGGATGTCAGTTATTTTCCAGGAAGGCTCAGAGCACTTGTGACTTGCTCACAAGCAGCCTGAGCAAGTGGCAGTTTGTCTCCGCTCACCTCTAAGCTCTTCTGCTCTCTTCCTCATTCATCCATTCCCAAGATAGGCATGCTTCTGCTTTACAGCCTTCTTCTTTTTTTTTTTAACTGAAGTATGGTCAGTTATAATGTATTAATTTCTGGTGTACAGCACAATGTCCCAGTCATGCATGTATATGTGTGTGTGTGTGTGTGTGTGTATATCTTCATTTTTACATCCTTTTTCATAAAAGGTTATTATAAGATATTGAATATAGTTCCCTGTGCTATACAGAAGAAATTTGTCTTTTTTAAAATCTATTTTTCTATATAGTAGTTAACATTTGCAAATCTCAAACTCCCAAATTATTCCTTTCCCACCCCCTTTCCCTGGTAACCACAAGATTGTTTACTATGTCTGCATGTCTGTTTCTTTTGTAGATGAGTTCATTAGTGTCCTCTTTTTTTTTTTTTCAGATACCACATATGAGTGATATCATATGGTATTTTTCTTTCTCTTTCTGGCTTATTTCATATAGAATGATGATCGCCACGTCCATCCATGTTGCTGCAAATGACACAACTTCTTTATCCAGTCATCTGTTGATGGACATTTAGGTTGCTTCCATGTCTTGGCTATTGTATATAGTGCTGCTATGAACATTGGGGTGCATGTGTCTTCTTGAATTAGAGTTCCCTCTGGCTATATGCCCAGGAGTGGGGTTGCTGAATCATATGGTATCTTAAATTGAGCTTTAGCAATTTAGGCAAAACTAGCATTTTTTTAGGGGGGAGGTAATTAGGTTTATTTATTTATTTTTAACAGAGGTCCTGGGGATTGAACCTAGGACCTTGTGCATACTAAGCACACACTCTACCGTCGAGCTATACCTTCCCCCCCAAAACTAGCATTTTTAAATTGTGCCCTAATAAATAATAATGTTAAAAGCTATATATAGTGGTGTAAAACTGCAAAAAATCTTTTTTGTTAATTAACTACAGAGGCATACCATTGAAAAACTTTGTTCCCTAAAATCATAGACTATGAGAAAATTTGCTTTTTGAAATCATGTTAGTGAGATGGGAACATCCCCCTGTTTCCTGAGTTATGTGGCCACTTTGAGACAGAGAAGTACCCTTGATTTCCTACCCAAGTTCAAAGATTCAGATAGTGTGTTTTCAGATACAAAATTTCACATTCATTTTAACTTTATAGTTTACAAGGAAGCAGGGCTATAAGCACACTTCTTAATCCATCCTGATCCTAACACAGCTCTACTTTGCTTTCAGCCTATCAAAGCACTGCTCGTTTAAATTTTGCTTAAACTCTACCTTGCTCCCAAACCAGTGAAAACACTGGCTCTTCCTTCCTTAGTTTTGGTGAAATGCTCCTCAGTTCTGCTGACATGGAATCTCTTCCTGCAGCATATTAATAAACATAACTTTGTTTGACTGTGGTTGTGTCACAGTTTGGTGGTCTTTGAGCAGATTTATTAATCATTTCCAAACATTTTCTCTCTGTCCAACACTCTCAAGGACATTTCAAAAGACATACACCAATGACATTAACAGATGGAAACCAGCATGTGACTGAGTTGTTATAGGACCCCCGGAAAGCTGTGTAAGAAAGCGTAGAGAAGAGAATGAAAAAATAAATAGAGATTAATTTTTATTTCGCTAATTCTTTGAATCCCTCCAGTATTTGACTCTAATTCATTTTTTCTTGATCCTCATTCAAAAGTGACCTTTCCTTTGATTTCCTGTATACTTTGTACCTTCTGTTATGACACTTAACAGTTTCTTTTGTATTATAGTTATTTATGAGTTTGATTTGATTTATTGTTAGACTTCACCGTCATTTCTTCATCATTCTTACCTGGAATGTTGCAATAGCTTCTTGATCAGTTTCTTTATTTTCTGCTCTATATACCTCAGTTTCCTCTCCTCACAGTCACTAGTGTGAACTTTTGAAAAAACATAAATTTGATCATGTTACTTCCCTGTTTGAAACTTTTAATTGGTTTCCCATCCCCAATAAAATAAAATATAAAGTTCTTATCATGTCTGCTAAAGCCTTTCTGGGTAC